GGGGGGCTTGTTAGAACCAGGTTAATGAGCCTGGTCCGCAGCTTGTGATGGGTCCCTCTGCCCTGCACCCTCTTCCCTTCTGCAGGAGGCCCTCTTTGTGGTCACTGTGTTGCCCAGCGGTGGGAACGCTTGTCGTGACAGCAGTTGCTCTGAGGCTTTGTACTATGCACACATCCTACCAAGACGATCCTGCGCAAGACAGATTCTCTTCCCTGTTTCCATTTTGTTGTCTGTGGCAGGTTGGGTTCTTGGCTCCACTTCTTCCTTCCTTCCCTGGATAGAATCTCACATTTGCGTCTTTCGAGTGGGGCCTTGCAGTGCTCTGCATTAAGAGGGGGTAGGATTCACCCCCACCACTGATGCTAGGTGTGGTCACACAGATGTTTGTGATTCGGGCAGAGGCTTTTTTTTTTTTTTAATGTTTATTTATTTGGCTGCACTGGGTCTTAGTTGTGGCACGCAGGATCTTTATTGCACCATGGGGGATCTAGTTCCCTGATCAGGGATTGAACCTGGGTGCCTTGCATTGGGAGCACAGAGTCTTGGTCACTGGACCACCAGGGAAGACCCTGGCAGAGGCTTTGAATGAGGTTGCAGGACCTGGCCGTTCGACAGGAGCGGAATGGGCTGCCTGCAGCTGTCAGTCCCAAAAGGGAGACACTTGATCCTCCTCACCTGTGTCCATGAAAAAGAAAAAGAAGTCAACGCGTATTGTAAGCTACTGAGATTTTAGGAATTGTCTCTTACGCAGTGTTATAGTAGCAATAGCTATAGCTGATGACTTTGTAGGTCATTCATTCACTCAACAAACACTGATGAGCATCAGGAACTGGTGCTTTTATCATGCCAGTGAGTGTCTGCAAGAGTCTTGGGAAGAATTAAGATGAAAACTTCCAGGACTGTCTACTTTTCAGGAGCTCTAGGCAAACAGCAGATGCAGTCTGTCAATCTCCCAAAAGCTGTCAAGGTTGTGCTCGTCGTTAGACTGGAAGGTGTCATGGAACAAGATGGAGATGTTGAGCTCTGTGAAGTGAAAGTGAAAGTCGCTCAGTTGTGCCCGACTCTTTGCGACCCCATGGACTTAGTCCATGGAATTCTCAGGCCACAATCCTGGAAGTGGGTAAACTTTCCCTTCTCCAGGGGATCCTCCCAACGCAGGAATCAAACCCAGGTCTCCCAGCTTGCAGGCCATTCTTTAATAGCTGAGTCACAAGGGAAGTTGGGCTCTGTAAGGATAACCTAATCACACTTCTCACATGTGGCTTCTCACACGCCCTGGGTTACTGGCAAGTCTCTATCACCCACACCCCAGTGTCCTGCTCTGTGAAATGGGGTGATCCGATGTCGCTAATCCCTCACTGGGGCTTAAGTATAGCTCTCAGAAAACCATCAGGTCGCCTAAGAGTTTAGGGCATGCTTTATCTCTATTACCCTCCCCCAAACTTACATTTAGTCACCTTTTCTCTAAATTTGCTTCAACTTTCTGTTCAGTGCTTTTTTAGATGCATGAAGCACACAAGAAATTCTTAAATACTCTGCCTTTTAAGGCATTTCTTGGCATCACTGAAGTTTGTTCACAGGGAGACAGTCTAGGACAATCCCTTAGCGACAGTCCTCATTTCATTGTGTCTCATTTGCCCTGGCAGTGAGGTGGGGGCATCATTCTGTGTGTTCTGGCAGGTAGTGAATCTCTGGGTGGAGTGATGCGTATGTGGCGGGAGGCTGGCTGTGATGGGCTGGTTGGGGGGATTCTTGCCTTCATGCCTCATGTTGAAGGGTTTAGTCCTGCCTTGGAGGATGTGAAGAGATCGACGGGAAGGGGGACTGAGGAGCAGAGCTGGGGGTTCCCTCCTTCTTCAGCACTACTCCCGAGGCAAACTGGACTCTGGGGGCCTGTGGCCCAGTGATTCTGGCTCTCAGGGCCTCCCCAGGGCCCTTAAGTCTTTGCTCCAAGAAAGATGCCTTTATTTGCTACCTTTCTCCCCCACTTCCATCCGTCTATCCATTCATCCATCCATTTCTCATTTAACTAAAGGGAGCACTTCCTGTCTGACTATGGAGAACACAGCCAAGTTTGTCCCCCCCCCCTCCATAGGGACAAAAGCTCAACAGCTGGGCTGAGTCCCCATTTGGGAGAGAAGCAAATGGGTAGGTTTTGTATTGGGGCCCAGGCCTGCCTGAGATGCAGGTGCACGGTTCCCGGCCAGGATCCGGGTGGGCTGTGGAGAGCTGTTTTCCTTGGTGCTTGGGTTTGACTGCTGCATCTCAGCATATTCTTGCCCCCAGGTACCCACTGGGGATAGGGTCATTCGGCAGAAATAAGCACCACTTAAAGCAGTAAGGAGTCGAGTGACTATCCCCCCACTCCATGGAGACCTAGAGGCTGTAGGTGAGTGTGATGTCACCGTAAGTCCCTTGTGAACAAAGGCCACGCCCCTAATGGGTTTGCTGTTTACACATAGTCTCCAGCTTGGTGCCCATATAAGCAACCTTGTAGGTTTCCTCTTTATCTTCAAATGTCACCTGAAATCTTTTCCTGCTGCCATGGACCATTTCCTTCCTCCAGCCCCATCAGCGTTGAGGGGGGACTGGACACAAATGTCAAAGACAGCAGTGCTGGAAACAGCCCCCAGAAAGCTAACGCAGAGCCCGCCACACAAAACAACACAGTGACAGTCCTTGCCCTGTGTGGTTCATCTTGTCTCTCGAAACCTGTGTGTCTCAGGAGGTGAGCAGAGGTCACACTGGTGGGAAGGAGCATGGGGGTGGGAGGGGCCCAGGCTGGTCTGAGTCCAGGTGCCGCCCTTATGGGGTGGGTTCTCTGTGCACAGCTGGCTGGCCCTTGGCTCTGCCCGCTCTGAGAAGTAGGAGGGCACCGCGATGATTGCTGGCCGGTCTCCATGGCAACAGCTGATGAATCTGCACCAGGAGATGGCAGGGCCGCCAGCCTGAGGCTGCCTTGCAGTGGGAGCTGGGCTGCGATGGTGGGGGCTGGCGGGGGAGAGGATCTGGAGGGGTGGAGGTGTGGGTGCGAGATTGGTGGCTCTCCCAGTGGCCATCCAGAAGATGCTCCCAGTCTCATCTCAGTCCGATCATTGGTTCCATATATTCATTCCACATATTTTCCATGGACATCTACATGTGCCAGGCAGTGGGCACACAACCAGCTATGGGACCCAGTGGTGCTCTTAGCAGACAATAGGTTGGGGTAGCAGGGACAGGTAGTCAGGTAGTTCCAATCCACCGTGATTGATGTGGGTGCGCCTCTAACCCAGGCTGGGGGTCAGGAAAGGAATCCAGGAGAGAGGATCATGTGCTTGATTTCCTGAAGGATGAAGGGGTCAGCTGTGAAGAAGCGGGGCAGGAGAGCTGTGTGGAAGGAGGGGGGCTCAGGTGGGAGGAAGAGAGGGAGAAGGTGAGAGAGGGACAGAAACAGACTGGGATCTGCAAGGTCCCGAGTATCTAGAGCCTGGAACTGGTGGGCCAGGGAGGACAGCATGGACAGGGATGTGGGGCTTGTCCTGGTCCAGGTTAGGGGGGAGGGGCTGGCTGGTGAAGGCAGGGGGAGGAGCAGATGGTGTGGGGATGGAATTCTGGACTGGGAGGCATCAGTGACCTCTGTGTGATCTCCTGTGTGCCAACTCAGGTTCTGAGATGGAGTCAGCAGGGAACGCAGCAAAGATGGAGAAGGTGAAGAAGACTGAGAAGGTGGAGAGGATGGGGAAGATGGAGAGGGTGGAGAGGGTGGACAGGATGGGGAGGGTGGGGAGGGTGGAGACGACGGCTGCTCCTCTCTCCTGGGCTTCCCGAGGGTCGCCGGGCAGTGCTGGCTTTCCCAGCGGGTGTCTTTCTGCTCTGCTCTCCCTCTTTCCCTTTCACCCCAGGACCTTTGCACAAGCACACACACGTGCTCACACACATGAGCATTTGCATATGCACACTCACAGGTACACTTGAACATACCTGCATTTGGATGCACACGTGTGTGAAACACACATGCATGCACGCACATTTGCACACATAGGCTTTGGCATGCATATACACACCTGCCCGGTCTTCCCAGGTGGTGCTAGCAGTAAAGAACCCACCTGCCGATGCAGGAGACATAAGAGACGTGGGTTTGATCCCTGGGTTGGGAAGATACACCAGAGGAGGAAATGGCCACCCACTCCAGTATTCTCACCTGGAGANACGAACAGAGGACTCTGGTGGGCTATGGTCCATAGGGTCGCACAGAGTCGGACAAGCCTGGAGTGACTTAGCATGCATGCATGCACACAGCCCCCCACCCCGTGCACACCCTTTCATTTGTATATACCTTTGCATCTGTCATCTCCCTAATCGCCCTTCTCTCCCTGGGAGTCCCCACGTGCTTCCCCTCCACTGGAACAGGCCTGGCCTTGTCGCCTATCTGTCTGCCTGCCTGCCTGTCTGTCTGTCTGTCTCCCCAGCGCAGGGAGGCCTCCTAAGGACAGGCTGCTGCCTCTTTAGCAGCATCTTGCTGCCGCTGAGCGGAAGTCTCCGCGGAGAAGAGGCTGAGGAAACCACACTCTTGCTCAGGGTGCCCGCAGTCAGGGAGTCGCCTAAGAGGCAGGTGTGAGAAGGCCCGGTGGGGGAGGGTGTGAAGCTGTGTCTCCCAGTCCCTGTTCGGTGTCAAGGACAAAACTAGGTCGCAGAGCTCCAGGGGAAGCAAAGCCCTGTGCTCCCCCAGGCTGGGCTTGGCTGGCCGAGTGGGTCTCAGGCACTCTGGGGCCCAGCCTCCACCTCCGCCTTCCTGGGCTTGTCCTCGGGTCTTCACACAGCCTTCGGGGGCAAATGGCTCTGAGGTGAGTCTTGACTTGCCTCCTCCAGGGCTGTCCTCAGCCCGGGCCAGGGCCCTCTGGTACTGGGGTCCCCTAGAGTTGTGTGGTGTGGGGTGACCCCTCTCCTGCACTCACTTTGGTTCTTCAGCCCAGCTCTGCCTCTGTCATGGTGGGGGGGGGGACCTGGAGTGGAGTGGACAGGCCCCCCCCGGAAGGTTGGGCTTCCCACTCTCCTTACTCCTGTCCGGCCCATGGTGATGGAGGAGGGGTACCGGCCTGGCCGGGAGAGGAGGACCCATTCAGGGCCTGGCTGGGTGATTCAGGGAGAAAATGCCATTGCTGTCCCCAGTTTATGGGCAAGAAATGGGGGTCATGGCCTGGATCACACAGCTAATGAGTGGGAAGCTCATTTGATTTGACATGAACCCAGGCAGGCTGGTTCTCCAGCCCCTGCTCTAACCACAGGGCCATCCAGACTCTCTCGAGCCTCAGGCCTCATGTCTTACCTGTGACACGCCCTATGTTGCTTCCAGGGAAATAAGGTCCAGAAGTCACCTCACCCTGTGGGCGCTTTGGTCCAGACCTCTGTCTTGCATGGCAGGGAGCCAGCACGCCCCTCCCCAGGACCCCAAGAATGGAGGCCCACGGTGAGTCTTCTCCAGGCGCTCCTTCATAGACATGGGTCCTGCTGCTCTCACGTGGGTGACACAGGGTGGCAGGATGTTCATTTCTGGGGGGGTGCCCATGGCCAGTACCTGCCTGGCTCATCCAGAGGGCATTGGAGCACACAGCCAGGTGCCAAGTAGAAAGGAAAGGGCAAGTGGTCATCTGTGTCCCTGGAATGATCTGGTCCATTTGGGAGCCTATCCTGCTGGGATGCCCTGCCCTGAGTCTAACCCCCTACCCCACATCTTCCAATGTCTCCGGATATCAGACTCTTGCCCGGAGTGGGGAACGAAGACGCCCATGGAGACTGACTCTCCAGGGCCCAGCATGGCTGCAGCCAATGCCAGCAGGGACCCAGCAGCAGACCTGACTCTGGGCCCCCGTGGTCCTGACTTCACCTGTTGCCGTGAGGCTGGCTGCCTGCGATGACGCACCTCCCGCCCCTGCTCTCAGGAGGGGAGAAGCAAGTCTCAGCTCCCAGCTGTGAGGGCCAGCGAGGCCGGACCTCTGGCAGGTTAGTAAATTGCACGTCTGACCCAGCCTCGCAGAGGCTCACTTTCTCTCCTTTCCATGCTGACTTTCTCACTGTTAAAGAGCATGTTTAAAAAGAAGACAAGAAAGGCAGACAGAAGAAGGAAGAGGGGAGAGGAAAACGCCTGGACAAACTTCCCACTTCCCGCCACCACCCAGACGTCTGAGTGAAGAGCCGAAAAATGCAGACACGTGAAGGGGCCAGATTCAGCCTCAGACCTGCCTGCAGGTGAGTCTTGGATGGGCAGGAGAGGTGATGGGCAATGCGTCTGGATGGCACTCTGCCCGCAGCCCAGTCCCGTGCTTGGCCCATGTGGGCACCCAGCAATCATTGAAAGAATGGAAGAAATCAGTGGATGGAGGTGAGATTCTTCTCGGGTGGGGTAGGGGTTGGCTTCCACACCTTCTTCTCCGAGGGATTCTGAGACTGACAAAGCATCAGGGTTCTGCATTCCTACGTGAGCATCCCCAGCAAGGGCCTCAGATTCCCTTCCCCTGCAGACCCTGTCGTATCTGAGTCCATGGAAGAACTTTTTTTTTTTTTTGTTTGTTTGCCTTGGTTTTTCCTTGTTGCCTTTGGGTTTCTTTTTTTTTGTGGGGCGGGGGTTGTTCCGGGGTTTTTCTTTGGGTTGGTTTTTTTTTTTTGGGGGCTTGGTTTTTGGGGGGTTGGTTCGGTTGTTGGGTTTTGCCACTTTGGTTGCCTTTTGTTTTTTGAATCTTCCTGGATCAGGGATCGAAGCCGAGTACCCTGCATTGGCAGATGGATTCCTATCCACTGTTCCACCACGGTGGGGGTTGGGGGGGAGCGTCCGCGTCCATGGGTTTTTCTAAATTATTTTCGTGGGGCTCAGGCTCCAGAAATGCCTTCAGAACCCCAGGCAGGGACTCAGTCACTTATCCTGGAGGCAAACCCTGACTCTGCCTCTCTCCCCTCTCCCTCTCCCTCCTTCTCTGTCTCCTAGACTCTCTCTCACACACACACACGTGCACTCATGACTTTCTCGAGATCAGCATATTTGTCACACTTACTCCATCTCTCCTCTGGCTCGCTGATGCAAGGTGAGCTGAAGGAGAGCTTGTGGGGTGAGGACTGGGAAGGCACGGGTGCCATGGAAACCACTTGGGAGCCCCGTGAGCTGCTGCCGTCGGCCGCCGCGTGGACCGTCTCCCTAGTGTGTCCTGTGATGTTTGATCATCTCCCCATTTATGTGTCTCACCTGCCCTCCTCCTCTCCCTCCTGGCTCCTCAGGCTCAGCTCAGGAAGCTGCTTGCAGGTCAGCAGAGTAAAGGTGCTAATGATTTTTTAAAAAACCTAATGATATTTTCAGCCTCATCCCCCCATGCTCACACCTCCTCCCCAGGAGGCAACTACAGATGTTGGAGGCAGAAAACGGGATTAGATACGTAGAGAGGTTCCCAGCTTCTCTGGCAAGTGCTGTTGTTGGTGGCAGGGGGAGTTCTTAGATTCCACCACAGGGGCCAAGGGCTGGGCAGGCTCTCAATAGATAATCGGAGTCACATTGGGGACTTTCTCCTGGCAGGTGGCGAGATTCAAAGCATTGTGGGCAACCTTGATCTTCCTGAGCTTCTTTCATGTAAATGTGTTGCGTAAACTGAAGCAGGCCGTGAACTCCTGGGTGGACCTCAACCTCCTCCTTTCTTTGAACCACCGTCATCAACACCATCAGCATCATGTTTTACATGGGCTTTTGCCCTGAGAGTTTCTAATCCTTCATTTTATTTTTTTCCAGCAATGGCCCTGAAAAGCTGGCAGGTCAGGTGTCATTGGCCCCACTTTACAGGGTGGGAAACTGAGACCTAAATGTTTCAGTGGTGAGGCTGGGACGGGAACTGTCTCTGCTCCAAGGCTCTGTCTCCAGGGCTGTTGGATCACGTGGGTCAGCATCTCTGGCTGGTCCACTGGCTGAGGCTGTGGGCAGGCTGTTGTAGGGGCTCGTGGCCTGAGGCCTGGTGAGGAAGGAATGTTTTAAGTAGTGTCCATCAACACTGTCCATCGACGGTTAGCAGATCCAACCCTCTCCTCTTTCTATGTTCAGTTTCCTTAATTAACAAGTAGTGTCTCTACTCCCTGCACACAGCCATATGCACACACACATGTACAACTGTTCACGTTTTATCTCTCTTGGTTAGGGGTCCATCCCCACCAAGCCATTAAACATGTTCTGGCACTGTCTCTGATGGTATATATATATATATATATTTTAATCTGAACCTGTGAGCTGACTGGACTCTGCTGGGGTGTTCTCCCAGCTGGGGTTGTAATCATGTACAAACGTGACCAGATTGGAGCCCCCAAGGTGTCTCACGCACATGACCAGCATTTGGTGCTGACTATGGGCTGGTTGCTGAGCCAGAGCTGCTGATGGCAAGGCTGTGGGTGTCCCAGGCTGGGCTTCTCATGGCTTGGTGGCCTAGTTCTGCCAGAGAGTGTCTCAGGAGAGAGGTCATTTCAAAAAAGAGGAAGTGGAAGCTGCCGATCTTAAAAGACTAGCTCCAGAACTGATGCAGCAGCTATGGGAGATCTGACGATCCTTTAAGTACCAAGTCCAGTGGACCATTGAGGCCTCATCTAAGTGGACGTCTCTGGCCAGGTGACTGGACTATCCCACCCCCTCCCCTGACCACTGAGGCGTTGCTCTCTGCGGGTCCTCCCCCTCCTCTCCATCTCCTTCAGGATCCTCCAATGATTTCTCTTCCCCAGGGACCCTCTTCTTTTTTTCGTCCTTGACCCTTTTCTCTCTGCATCCTCCACATTGTCCTGGAAGTCTCATTCAGCCCCGGGGTACTGATGCTTCATTTGGATCTTGAACCTCCAGCCCACATCTGCGAACAGGCCCCGGGTCTCCAACAATCTCCCAGACTTTCCTGCCCAGAGGCAGAATTAAGAACTCCAAAGTGCGTCCCCACCATCCCATCCAGAGAGGAACTTGTCATCCTTTGCCCCAGATTCATCTTTCCTTGCCTGGTCCCCAACTTGAGGACTGGCGCTTCATCCCCACTCTTCCCTGAACTTTCTGACCCCAACCAGGCCCCCACAATGTTCCTGGATGACGGAACAGGCACTGCTTGGTAATCAGAAAAAAAAAAAAAAAATCAATGTTCCTGGATGACGGAACAGGCACTGCTTGGTAATCAGAAAAAAAAAAAAAAACTACATAAGTCATTAAATAAAAAAATAAAAGGAAAGAGTGTCTGTGTCTCGAGGATTTTTGTTTCCTTAGAGGAAAAGCAGATAGATTTTTTTTTTTTTTTAAACAGAGACCTGGGAGCGGCCCCAGCTTAATTGGAAAACCGCATTCAAACAGGCTGGAGAGGCTCAGGAATGGCAAATAGCTTCTGCTTGCTCAAAGGAATTTCCTGGAAGCCTTAATGGCCGCTCTGCCCAACCACAGGCTGGTCTTTCTGGCAGAATTAGTGAGATCGTGTGGTCGGGGTGGCCAGGCTGGAGTCAGCCTGGATGCTTCTGTAGTCTGGGCTCCCTCAGCACCAACAAGTGGGGGCCAGGGGCCGGGGAAGCTTGTGGAGCCCAGGAGCTAGGGGTCAAGTAGGGAACTGCTATGTGGTCAGAAAACTGGTGGGTGGGCTGCAGTCTGGCCTGACCAGGGATAGGGCCTGGACCCCTCAGCAGCTCCCCTGTATTCCCAGGAGCTGAGGGGCAGCAGAAAGTGCAGGGAGAGAGAGAGCTGTGATTGCTGAGGGCTGACTCTGGTGAGGCGGTTCTTCGGTCCATTTTGTCCTGAGGGATGCTTGGCTATCATCTCCGTTTTTCTTTTTTAACAAATTTATTCTTGACTTGCTTAGGTTTTTGTTGTTGTTGTTTTGTTTGGCTGTGTAGCATTTGAGATCTTTGTTTCCCAAACCAGGGATCGAACCTGTGCCCTCTGCAGTGCAAATGCCAAGGAATCACTGGACCGCGAGGGAATTCTTTTCATCTTTCTTAAGAGGAAACTGGCTCAGGGGAGTTAAAAATGGGCCCACGATGTCACAGAGGAGGTTCTAGGATCCTGTAGATCTGTCTGACTCTGACCCAGCACTAGATGGTACATGTCTGGTGCTGGGGGCCCAGTCCTCTGATTTTAGAGAGACAGGGTGACCCAAGCCTCTGAGGGTGGGCTGGGCTCCTCGGGGTCCAGGATGGGGCCCAGCAATATCAGAACAGGGGCATCCTCAATCAGTGTGGCTCAGCTGGGTCTCCCCATAACATGGTCTGTCTCCTCCCTCCAACCTATTCCCAGACAGTGGGCCTGGACGGAACACTGCTCTGTTGCTAAGGCCAGGGGTCAGAGAGGAAAGGAGCGGCTGGACTTGGGGTGATGGGGAAGGACAGGGAGGCACGTGCCTCTCCCCCAGTGGGGCTGGGAGAGTTTTGGAGGCTGGTTGGATCTTTCTAGGAACTCTGCTGGTGCTTTACAAGTGGAGTTACCTATTCTGGGCTTACCTATTCTTGACTTATCTATTCTGTTTTTTTCATAGAAATGCAGGCTTTGGTGAAGACAGCCTCATGAACCACAGGTCAGGGGCTTATTGGGATGTCTGAACAATCACATATGAGTGAGTCACTTATGATATTTACCTGTTGGCTTCACTCGCTTACTTATCTTATTAAAGAATGTCTACTCACAAGATAGAAGCAAAAATCACACACAATTGGGAGCAAAATTTGCAGACTACAACATGAATAATTAAAGACTTTTAAAAATGTGTTTCTCTCCAAAAGATGTGCATGCGTGCTCAGTCGCTTCAATCGTGTCCAACTCTTTGCTGACCCCACGAACTGTTAGCCCATCAGGCTCCTCTATCCATGGAGATTCTCCAGGCAAGGACACTGGAGTCGGTTGCCATGCCCTCCTCCAGGTGATCTTCCCAACCCAGGGATCAAACCTGCGTCTCCTGTGTTTCCTGCATTGGGAAGTGGATTCTTCACTGCTGAGTCACCAGGGAAGACCTTCCAAAAGATAAAATCCCTTTAAAAAAACCATAGTCACAATCCTTCCCCATCACCAGGTAGGCCTTTAATGCTGCAGTTCCAATGTTAAGCTACAGATGGTGTGACTTTGGGTTTGACCCCGGAGGGGTGGAGGGCTGAAGAAACAGCAATTTAGATGAACACCTCCTCGTGTCCTCACCATGTGCCAGGACCTGGATGAAATTCTTTCCTTGGGTTAACTCTCCTGAAGCTTCAAAAAGGACTGCTAAGTAGGCACTGACATTGTATCTGTTTTAAGCTTGGGGAAGGAGAGGCACAGAGACGTTAAGTTACTTCTCCAGAGCAGCACAGTGTGGTTCCTTGGCTGGCTCAGAGAACATGAGGGTGGGGCAGCAGGAGAAAAATGGGTCCAGGTTGGCCTCTATCTTGCAGGTGTGGGTGGAATTTTTCTGGGACCATCATGAAGCCCTGGGAGGAATCCAGCAAACAGTTCGCCTGTCATAGGGTTTAATAAAAACCCTGTGCAAGGATGATATTCTTATGCTCTTTTCTTAAAGAGTCCCTGCATACGGATTAGCACAAATCTCCCCAAATCCTGAATCTTCCCTTTGCAAACTCAGCTGTTTTGGAATAAGCAGCCTGTAACCCCCCCACCCCACTACCGCCCCCATCCCTTGGGCAGGAGTCTGATAAGCAAGCCAGGGGGAGAGGGGAGGTGTCTTCATTTCCCGGTCATCCACGGGGTTCCAGAGCTCTCTGCGTGTCGTCCTGGCTTTCGAGCTCGCAAGAGGAGGTGCCGAGGACCCCCATAGCAGACAGAGGATGGGATCTTGTTGTCACTGCTCCTTATTTTATACCTCATGGTGGCTCCAGTCCCTTGAGATATCACCGCTGCTATTTCCCCAGTGCTTCTCTTAGATGTGGAAAAACCATTCACTCGTTTATTCAACAAAGCTGTGTCGGTGCCCACCTGACACACAGCTGAGCAAGAAGGATGGGGTGGTGAGCAAGGGACAGGCACCCCCACCTCCAGGAGCTCACACTCTACTGGGGAGTGGGGGGACGGAAATTGAGCGACACGGAAAGTTCTCGAAGAAGATGGAGGTACAGGATCCTGTGCGTGGTGGGGCTTCAAACACACCTGGGGGCGTGGTGAGCCTGGACAATGGCTCCCCACGCTTTGGGGTGTTGCCGGCCTGTTCTGTCCATCTTGGATGTGTAGACTAGGGGTGGAACAGCTGGATACAGAAGTGGTGGTCCTTTAATTCCTGATGATCATAAATGAGGCCCACAGTCTTTCTTCAGCTGAGTATCCATCACCACTTTCCAAAGGAAAGCTCCACCTGCCTTTTAGGTCTTAGCGCCCGTGCTGGGAAAAAGATGAGGGTCTCGGTCCCCTGGCCCCAGCACTGACCACTTCTCAGCTGGCTCCAGCCAGCACCCTTTGCCCCTCCTCCTCTCCCCTAGCTTAGCCCTGGCTTTTTAAAGCAACTTGCCTTTTACAATCTGGTTCTCTAAAAAATGTCTGCCCTAACCTGCTTCTTAAAGGGTCTGTGACTCTTCCCCATCCCTCTAATCATTGAAAGATGTGTTTGAACAGGGAAAAGCTAGACTCATTTCCCAAAAGGCCTTTTATCCCTTGGGGATTGCAGGCAAACAGGACGCTGGTGGAGGAGACGGCCTTCAGAGAGTCGGTTGGCAACACAGAATCGCTCAGCAGTGTTTACATCAAGGGACGCAGGGGATGACAGCCCAGGCGGGGAATGCGCCTCTTTCCTCACTAAGGTCTTCCAGACCCACCAGGTCACGTGACCCGGTGGCAGCCATTCATTCCACGGTGATGCCCTGCCATGGTGGTGGGGAGGTGGGGGGATGGTTACTGAGCCCAGGAGACGTGGAGCCTTCTGGGTCTCTGAAGATGTGCTGGAAACTCCCTCTACTCTTAGACCGGCTCATCTTTAAGCAGCCAAGTCTTTAAATTAATTAACTAGCTCCTCAAGCATTTATTCAACTGTTCTTGGTGCAGGAGGGCATACAGAGTGAGCAAGACACTGTCTTCCTGGAGCCCTTAAGCTGATGGGGAGGCTTGCTGGAGGTGGAGGTAGGCAGTAGGGTTCTGCAGGCGGAGAGGAGTTGGATGGGGGAGGAAATCAGTGTTGATGGTGGAGGGGAGTATTTAAGACTCAATGCTAAGTCAATATTTTATAATAATTCTAAATGGAGTATAACCTTAAAAAGAAAGACTCAAGGCCAAAGGAGCGGCCCTGAACGGAGGCGGGGAGAGGGCGACATGGCAGGTGTGACCTTCGGCGGAGCCAAGAGCCTGGCAGGGTGATGAACGTGAGCAGGGGCCTTGTGTTATTACGTGAATGAGGGGTTTCAGAGGGGGTGGTCTCTGAAGGCTTAGGGATTGGCTTCCGGGGTCAAGGGGCATGGAGAACTTGAAGGGGTCCCTGGTTTGTGGTTTGAGCAGGGCTGAGGGGCAGCCAACCAGCTGGTCCTGGGAAAACATGCTTCTCCGGGGGAACATCTTTTCAGGGATGTCCTTTAAAACAGGCTGGAATGACATAGGCACAGCCTTCGACACATTGACAACGTATGGAGACAGGGCTCCTGCGAGGTGGTGGGTGTGGGGAGGAGTAAGCTGGGGGGCTGGTCTCTGCGTTATTGGAGGCCCTTTGTTTCTGGGCTTCAGTTGCAGGAGCAGAACCAGCACGCATGGCACTTCCCTGGGCATCCTATTCCCCCCCCTCCCCCCCTCCCCCCACTCCATCCAGCTTGCAAAATGATGAAGGCTTGGGGCAGTCTGAGCCAGGAATGCCAAATCAGGTACAGACTCTCAGAGACCAAATCCTGTTTTGAAGTCTGTTTACTCTAACAAATTAATCTCTTTGATGCCTGGAGAAGAAAGATGCATATTAAACAAAGACTCAGCTCTGAATTCTGAGCGCTCGCTGTAGCCATCAATCTCTCCTGGTACAAACGCTGGGCTCAGGGCGTGCATCTTCGGCATGGGGGATTTTTCCACCAGGTTTGTGGACACATAATTCATTAGATTTAATTAGCTAATCACACACTTACCACCCAGACGGTAGATCAGGTCCGCCATGAAGTTCTGCCTGGTTGTTGGACGGAGAAGAATTTATAACGGAGAGGGACCTGATTGCGGAAACAAGATGCTGTGTGAATGGATGACTTTGACGGTTCCTGGGACCCCAGCCATGTCTGCAGCCGTCCACACTGCTAGATGCAGTCGACATAGAGGAAAATATTTCAATGGAGGATCAGACTACGTAGGTTCTTGGGCTGCCCTGCTCCCTTCCCCTCTGTGACTTGCACTAGTTTCTCCCCGCCTGCTTCGTCCCATAAATACTGGGACACTGCCAAATTGCGTGTTCCCAGATTTATATGTATGCTCAAGTCCTAACCCCCAGCACCTCAGAATGTGACTGTATTTTGAGATAGGGCCGTGTAAGAGATGGTTAATTTAAACGAGGCCTTTCAGGTTGGCTCTAGTCCCATCTGATTGGTTTCCTTATGAGAAGAGGAAATTTGGACTGAGAAAGAGACCCCAGGGACTCACATACTCACAGACCAAAGGCTGTGTGATGACCTAGGGAGAGACGGCCTTGGGGGAGACCAAACTGGCCAGCGTCTTGAACTTCCAGCCTCCAGGACAGTGAGAGAATAAATCTGTGTTGCTTAAGCTTTCAGTTTTGTGATACCTTTTTTTTCTTTTGCAACTTTTTATTCTGTATTGGGATATAGCCTATCAACAATGTTGTGATAGATTCAGGTGAGCAGCAAAGGGACTCAGCCATACACGTACATGTATCCATTCTCCCCATAGACTCCTCCCCTCCAGGCTGTGATACTTTATTAAAAAATTTTTTTTTAATTAAAAAATTCTTTCCTATGTATTTTATTCTTTTTGATGCAATTAAAAGCTATTTATCTGGCTGTGCCAGGTCTTAGTTGTGGCATGTGGGCTCTAGTTCCCTGACCAGGGATTGAACCCAGGCCCCCCTACATTGAGGGTGTGGAGTCTTAGCCACTGGACCACCAGGGAAGTCCCTGTGACACTTTAATACGGCCACCTGAGCTGACTGATACAGACTCTATCACCTTCCTGTCTACAGCCCAAGGTCATCGTGAGGACCCAACAAGATACCGTCGACAAAAGTACCGTGACGATTAGTAGGCAACATGTAATTCTCTTCTCTTCCTCTCCTTTTTATTCCATTAAGGAGAAAATCTCATTTGGCAAAGGGACACCTCTACAGCCTTGCTAACACTTGGAAATCTCCCTTTGAAAAAGATGAGGGGAAAACGCGCATAACCTAAAATTAACCATGAACCGTTTTGAAGAGTATACTTCCGTGGCATTTGTTGCGTTCACAGTGCTGTGCAATGATCATCTCTGTCTGATTCAGAGACGTTTCATCACCCTAAAAGGAGCCTGTGCCCAACAAGCAATCACTTTACGTTTCCCTTTCCCCTCCTATCCCCCATCCCCACCTTTCATTCCCGGCAAACACTCTCTGTCTCTGTGGAGTTATATATTCTGGATATTTCATGGAAATGCAATTAAACCATACGTGACTTTTTGTGTGGGGTTTCTTTCACCTAGCATGATGTTTCAAGGTCCATCCCTGTTGTAGCTTGTGTCAGAGCTTCATTCCTTTTTATGACTGAGAATATTCCATTGTATGGGTGGACTGTGTTTTGTTTATCCATCACCCACTGCTGGACAGTGAGCTGTTTGCACCTTTCAGCTCTTGTGAGTGGTGTTACTGTGAACATTTGTGTACAAGTATTTATCTGAGCTTCCCAGGTGGCTCAGTGGTAAAGAATCTGCATGCCAATGCAGGAGACGCAGGAGACGCAGGCTCAATCCCTGGGTCAGGAAGATCCCCTGGAGGAGGAAATGGCCACCCACTCCAGTATTCTTGCCTGGGAAATCCCATGGACAGAGGAGCCTGGCGGGCTACAGTCCGTGAGGTTGCAAAGAGTCGGACACGACTGAGCAAGTACACATACACAATTTATTTGGACATCTCTTTTCAAAATTCTTTTGGAGTATATACCTAAGGGTGGGATTCCTGGGTTGTAAAGTAATTCTACATTTGCATTTCTGAAGAATGGAAATCTCCCTTTTTCATCAAACGAGAGCAGGCATTAAGATCCAAACCTCCAGCAAAGAAGAACACTCAGCTAGACTATGGTGACCTTGATTTTTAATGGTTTTCATCCTTAAGGGATCAGAAAATACAATACTGAGTTTTGACCTGTGGTAGCAACATCAACTTTTATTACTCTGAAAGGTGACTAAAATCATTGAGTAGGAATTCCCTGGCAGTCCATTGGTTAGAACTTCCCGTTTTCACTGCTATGGCATGGGTTCAATCCCTAGTGGGGGAACTAAGATCCCACAAGTTNCAGCCTACAGTCCATAGGGTCTCAAAGAGTCAGACACAACTGAAGCAACTTGGCATGTATGCACGTGTCACTTCACGCTGCCTCACTCTGCTGAGTGCGTATTCCACTAGATTCCGCAGTATCTGCAAAGCAGACTCATCATCCTGAGCTTGAGAAGACAGAACCGATCCCCTCAAGTTGGGAAGCCCTCAGGGGAGATATCTCTAGAGAAGGAAATGGCAACCCATTACAGTATGCTTGCCTGGAGAATCCCATGGACAGAGGAGCCTGACAGACTACTGCCCATGGGGTCGCAAGAGTCGGACATGACTTAGCGACTAAACTACCACTATAGGGGAGGTATGGAGGGGCACGGAATGCAGGGTCTGGAGGCACGAGTCAGCTGCCGAAGGCTGTAGGACCCTTGCGTGAAGAAGGACCCTCTTCATTTGTCATCACCCTCAGCTCCCTCCCTCTCTTCTGCTGTGACACTGGCTTCCAGACAAAGCTCATTCCTCTGGTGTCACCGTGCCAGTGGGCTGGACCCCAGATCCCCTCCCCATGGACACCGAGCTCTCCCAGCTCCCTGTGGTTTGGGCTGAGTTAAAGGGCACAGCTGGGGACCCGGGCCTGCAGCCACGGGAAGGAGGAAAGCCCCGTCCTGAGTCCAGCACCACCCATGTTGTCCTATGGAAGTGGCACATGAGACAGTGTCCCTCCCGTCCTGGCGCATCAGAGCCTTATTGTTATTCATCGGCCCAAAGCCTCTTTGAGAGCAGGGATCTTCATACTGACGTGGGATTTATTACTTCCCATCGCTTGCCAATCTTTCCCCAACAATTNCCGTCCTGGCGCATCAGAGCCTTATTGTTATTCATCGGCCCAAAGCCTCTTTGAGAGCAGGGATCTTCATACTGACGTGGGATTTATTACTTCCCATCGCTTGCCAATCTTTCCCCAACAATTTTCCTCTCCAAAAATTGTTCCTGCCCAGTCTTGCTGTTTATGTAAGTGGTTATTTGTTTACTTTTCCTGCTGCTGGTCTGAGCACTTCTTGGTAACTTCACCAGATCTGCTTAAGAACATCCTTCAGGAGAGCCCCACCCACCTCTAGAAATACATGCACACATGCACACAGATGCACACACACAGATGCACACACACAGATGCACACATGCGTACACACGTAACCTGGAACCAGACTGCCCCTCCAAAGGCCCACCAGGGTTCAGGTCGCCACCTCATACATCCCATTGCTGCTATTCAGTGGCTCAGTTGTATCTGACTCTGCAACCCCATGGACTGTAGCCTACCAGGCTCCTCTGTCTGTGGGATTACCCTGTTATCACTGGAGTTGGTTGCCCTTTCCATTGCCAGGGGATCTTCCTAACCCAGGGATTGAACCTGCGTCTCCTGCATTGCAGGCGGATTCTATACCACTGAGCCACTGGGGAAGTCCACTGCACCCCATTAGCTGATGTAATTGCATTGCAGCCGGGTCCCCTTTTCTGTCTCACCTGGGCTCTGGAGGTATTCATTTCTGGGGCTGCACACAGCTGCCAGAAGCCCCCAGGAGTCAGCCTCCTCCTCATGCTGTCCAGCTGAGAGCGTATCTTGGCTTTGCTGCTTGCCTGGGGTGAGGAGGAAGAGGATGGCTGTGGGCACAGAGGGGTCTCCACGTGTCAGCACTAAGACCCCACCTGCGAGCCTCGGGGACTCCCAAACATGAGGGCTGGGGCTCTGGGGGGTGCCGAGGCCAGGACCCTGGGGAGGAGGAAGTGGGCACTGGGATGCCTGGGACCTGCCTTCTGTTTGGTGTGCAGAGCCTCCAGGAGCTCGACCAGAACCCGGCAGCAGTGAGGCAGAAAGGACTGACCCTCACCCACCCAGGGGTGTGGCGGCCACGGGGACACGCAGCCACGTTCGGCTTCTGTGGCTTCCCACACAAAGCTGAGTGCAGGCTGGGCCACCAGCGAGCTTGAAGACCTTGGGCAAACCCTCCCCAATCTGGGCTTCTGTTTACTCCCCTGGGAAGTGACGGGGTGGGTGGGGGGCCTCCATCCCTATTCCCACCTCCCAGGAGTTCCAGAGAACACGGGTCTTGTTGTTACCCTGCAGGTGAACCCCCCTTCTGTTTAGGGGCTTTCCGCACTGCCCGAAAAACTGGAGTCTCGGTGGATACTTCATCCAGTGCCTCACAGCATGCAGGTCCCTGGGTTGGCACTGCTTTAAAATGCAGGCTTTCTTAGGACTTCCCTGGTGGTCCAGTGGTTAAGACTCCTTGCTTCCAATGCAAGGGGGCATGAGTTCAATCCCTCTTTAGGGAACTTCAGGGAAGTCCCTGTGACACTTTAATACGGCCACCTGAGCTGACTGATACAGACTCTATCACCTTCCTGTCTACAGCCCAAGGTCATCGTGAGGACCCAACAAGATACCGTCGACAAAAGTACCGTGACGATTAGTAGGCAACATGTAATTCTCTTCTCTTCCTCTCCTTTTTATTCCATTAAGGAGAAAATCTCATTTGGCAAAGGGACACCTCTACAGCCTTGCTAACACTTGGAAATCTCCCTTTGAAAAAGATGAGGGGAAAACGCGCATAACCTAAAATTAACCATGAACCGTTTTGAAGAGTATACTTCCGTGGCATTTGTTGCGTTCACAGTGCTGTGCAATGATCATCTCTGTCTGATTCAGAGACGTTTCATCACCCTAAAAGGAGCCTGTGCCCAACAAGCAATCACTTTACGTTTCCCTTTCCCCTCCTATCCCCCATCCCCACCTTTCATTCCCGGCAAACACTCTCTGTCTCTGTGGAGTTATATATTCTGGATATTTCATGGAAATGCAATTAAACCATACGTGACTTTTTGTGTGGGGTTTCTTTCACCTAGCATGATGTTTCAAGGTCCATCCCTGTTGTAGCTTGTGTCAGAGCTTCATTCCTTTTTATGACTGAGAATATTCCATTGTATGGGTGGACTGTGTTTTGTTTATCCATCACCCACTGCTGGACAGTGAGCTGTTTGCACCTTTCAGCTCTTGTGAGTGGTGTTACTGTGAACATTTGTGTACAAGTATTTATCTGAGCTTCCCAGGTGGCTCAGTGGTAAAGAATCTGCATGCCAATGCAGGAGACGCAGGCTCAATCCCTGGGTCAGGAAGATCCCCTGGAGGAGGAAATGGCCACCCACTCCAGTATTCTTGCCTGGGAAATCCCATGGACAGAGGAGCCTGGCGGGCTACAGTCCGTGAGGTTGCAAAGAGTCGGACACGACTGAGCAAGCACACATACACAATTTATTTGGACATCTCTTTTCAAAATTCTTTTGGAGTATATACCTAAGGGTGGGATTCCTGGGTTGTAAAGTAATTCTACATTTGCATTTCTGAAGAATGGAAATCTCCCTTTTTCATCAAACGAGAGCAGGCATTAAGATCCAAACCTCCAGCAAAGAAGAACACTCAGCTAGACTATGGTGACCTTGATTTTTAATGGTTTTCATCCTTAAGGGATCAGAAAATACAATACTGAGTTTTGACCTGTGGTAGCAACATCAACTTTTATTACTCTGAAAGGTGACTAAAATCATTGAGTAGGAATTCCCTGGCAGTCCATTGGTTAGAACTTCCCGTTTTCACTGCTATGGCATGGGTTCAATCCCTAGTGGGGGAACTAAGATCCCACAAGTTGCTCAGTGAGGCAGAAAAAAAAATCTGTTAGATAAACAGAGGTCCATATTAGAAGGTAGATCCCACATGGAAAGTTATTTTTGTCCATTTTGTTCACCCTCTGTCTCTAGTCCCTACATGGTCCCTGGCACATCTTAGATCCTCAATAAAAATGTGTCAAATGAATCAGTAAACTGTACAGAATCTACTTACATGCACTGCTGTAGATAACAGTCTGGGTAGGGTATAGATGTGGCAGAATTCCTGAAGGTGGAGGGTAAACGCTCAAGGAACCTGGCATAGAAGCCCCGAGACAGACCCGAGGCTGAGGTCCCCCCTCACCACTTGTTCACACTGACTTTGGACAATTTCTTATCTTCTCTAAGCCTCAGTTTCCTCATCTGAAAAACTGGGCTGCTGGGAGAATGAGACACGCTGATACATACAATGCAAGTCAGTAACTGAGGTTACCAGTCTACTGATTCCTGCAGGGAGGGCCCTGGGGCTGGGATAAATGCAGAGAAGCTGGGAGGACTCCAGCTGCGGGGGAGGCTGGGAACCCAGGGCTGGCAGAGGGGCAGGGCTGGCCCGAGGCTGGCGTGGGAGTGGCTGTGTGCTCAGCACAACCCATAGGAAGTGACATCATAATAGCAGCATCTTGTATTTATTCAGTGCTGGATGGCTTATAAAAGTTTACATCTCATTTTCTCACCTGATGGGCTGNAACCCATAGGAAGTGACATCATAATAGCAGCATCTTGTATTTATTCAGTGCTGGATGGCTTATAAAAGTTTACATCTCATTTTCTCACCTGATGGGCTGGCAGAGCCAAAGCTGATTCCCACTGTGCGGAGGAGAAAACCTGAGATGGAGCTGGAGATTGGGATTGCCCAAGTTCACGTGGCAGGTCAAGGCTAAAGCAGGCTGAATCGGGAATTATCTTGGCCTCATGGGCCCGAATCAAATACCCACTTCGCTTCTCTTGTGCTTTCCAAACCTGATGACCGGTAGCCTTGTCTGGGCCCAGCCTGGGAATCTGTATTTTAGGTGCCACGTGGGTGTTCCCAGTTGGTGCTAGTGATAAAGAACCCTCCTGCCAATGCAGGAGATATGAGATGCAGTTTCAATCCCTGGGTCAGGAAGATCCCCTGGAGGAGGGCGCGGCAACCCACTCCAGTATTCTTGCCTGGAGAATCCCGTGCACAGGGGAGCCTGGTGAGCTATAGCGTATAGGGTCGTAAAGAGTCCGACATGACCGAAGTGACTTGGCACATGTGCATATATACATCCCCTCCCTCCCAACAACCCCCCCCCCCAATTTTTTAAATGTAATTTTTCTGGTTATTCCAGGATGGAGAGCCTAACAGATCAGGAGTCGACTACCACTTAAAAGAGAGGTTGTTACTCATAGTTCCCAAGAGGAACGGGCCCTCCAGCCGTGCAGGGCCACCTGGGGAACCAGCAAGGTCAGTCACAAGGCTGGGGAGGGAACAATGTGGACGAGAACTCGTCTTGTGGTTTCTGTGGAAAGGAGTAGGTGAGGCCAGGTGAGCAGGGTTAGGGTGGGCTGCTTTGAATAATTGCAGACGGCTCTGGGCAGAGGTGCTGCCTCGAAGTGGCAGGTAGCTGGCCCTGGGGGAGGTGAGAGCAGGTGAATGGTGGCCCCGTAGTAAAAGCCCCACAGAGGGGGATGTGGGCTCTGGGGTGGTCAGTCTGTCCATGCAAGATGGGCTCCCTGGGAATTATCTCCAGGAATTGGTCAGCCCTGGGAGGGGGCAGTCCTTCCAGGGTCAGCGAGGTTCCAGATGTCAGAACGTTGCATACAGAAAATAGGTAACTATAGTGGATACAGACATGTAACAAAACCTGTGCTGTGTATAATTTGTTATTATTATTTAATCAATAGACTTTCTTTTATAGCAGGTTTAGGTTTACAGAAAAATTGAGCTGAAAGTACAAAGACTTCTCATGGACCTCCCCCTCCTGACACACACACACACACATAGACACACACAGACACAGACACACATACAAACATAGAGACACACACATGGACACACACAGATACACACACACACACATAGAGACACACAGACAGACAGATACACATACACATAGAGACACACAGACACACAGACACACAGACACAGACACTCACAGACAGACACACAGACACACAGACACACACACAGAGACCCACACAGGCACATGCACAGTTTCCCTTCTTATTGGCATCTTACACTAGCGTGGTACTAATTAGCTTATTATAACTGAACCAATATTAGAACATCATTATTAACTAGAGTCCAGTGTTTACATTAAGGTTCACCAGCTATCATACTTTCTACAGGTTTTGACATGTATGACATTTGCTTGACAACAGTATCCAGCAGAATAGTTTTACTGTTCTAAAACTCATCCAAGCTCTGCCTATTCATCCCTTCCTCCCTGCTTACCCCTGGCAACCACTGACCTTTTCACTGTCTGCATGCATGCATGCTAAGTCACTTCAGTCGTGTCTGACTCTTTGTGATCCCATGGACTGTAGGCCATCAGGCTTCTCTGTCCATGGGATTCTCTAGCAAGAATACTGGAGTGGGTTGCCATGCCCTCCTCCAGAAGATCTTGCTGACCCAGGGATTGAACTTGCATCTCTTACGTCTCCTGTGTTGGCAGGTGGGTTCTTTATCACTAGCGCCACCTGAGAAGCCCTACTGTCTGCATAGTGTTGCTTTTCCCAGAATATCATATATTTGGAATCAGACAGCCTGTAGCCTTTACAGACTGGCTTCTTTCACTTAGCAACACGCATTTGTTTCTTTCAGCTCGGTGCCCTGTGACGCGTGGTTGGGAGGGAGGCTCAAGAAGGAGGGGTTACGTGTGTCCGTGTGGCTGACTCACGTTGTTTCACAGCAGAGGCTAACACAACATTGTAAAGCAATTATATTCCAGTTTAAAGGAAAAAAGAAAGGCAGTGGGCTTTGTTGTCAGGGCTGGACTAACAGTGGTGCAGAGTTTCTGAGAGGGGGCCCAGTGGGCCGGTGGCCTCTGCGCTCGACCCAAGGACAAGTGATGGAGACAGACTGGATTTGCATGATCCCGGAGACAGTGTCCATTCTTGTCGTGCAGACAGCTGGCTGTCCCTGGCTCTTTCTCAGAAAAGCCTTTCGGGGGTGGTGACGCCCCCCTCCATCTATAGGCCTGCGGGCAGGAAATTTCCAAGCTGATGGGGTATGAGATTTCCCAAGTGGGCTGGTTGGCTTCAAGTCTGAACAGCGTTCCCCTTCCCTGATAAATAGGAAACAGCTTTGAGAGGCTAAATAACCCAGAGGAAGGTGCTACGGGCTGGGAGGCCCAGGCCTCCCCAGGGCCCTCCTCGCAGGACCGGCCTCCCTGGCAGCTGGGGCCCAGCCTCCAGAGTTTCTTGGTCTGTTTGGGGGCCTGCAGCCTGTGGTGAGTTCTGTGGGCTCCCGGCCTGGCAGCTGGCTGCCTGCTCTGGCCCTCATTGGGTTCCTTTTTTCCCCACACTTCAGTGAGGTCCACCCAGCCACAGGGACTTAGTTTGCTGTTCTTATGGGGGCTCCTGGCAGATATAACTCCCAGACAGGGCGTCTGCCCATTTCTTTCTCCTCATCTAAGGCATTGTGTTGGCTGGCCCTCCTGCCAGGACTCTTTCTGTGTGTGTGTATTTAAGTGTGTGTGTGTGTGTGTGTGTGTGTGTGTAGAGGCTGGTGGTGCTGTGGACAGCTTGTCCTCTCCCAAGCCATTGATCTGGAACCCAGAGATTATGGGGGAATCCACACTGCTGGCAAGGGAGGGAAGGGGTGCCCAGTCCCAGGACACCCCTGGTTTCCTCCCATGCCCCGTTGCTGCAGGCAAGAGGCTGCTCCTGGAGCATCAACACTTCCCCAGGGCCACGAGAAACTCACAAAAGGAAAGTGACAGCGAGTCAGTGGAAAAGACTGCCATTTCATCTTTCTCCCTCGATGCTCAGATACACCCCAAACACAGCCCAGCTCGGTTTGTGTAGGACCCCTCGGAGGCAACAGCCACTCTTGGAGGCCATGGAACAGCACTGAGAGGAGGCCCCCCGGCTGAGCAAGCAGGTGGGCAGCACAGCACACCCACTCTAACGCTGGGAGTCAGGTCAGCGGTGGAGCCTATATCCTTCCAAACCCGGCTTGTAGTCCTCCTCTTCCAGGAAGGCAGCCCTGATTCCATGCAAACCTGTATGCATGCTAAGTCACTCCAGTCGTGTGCGACTCTTTGCCACCCTATGGACTGTAGCCTGCCAGGCTCCTCTGTCCATAGCAGTCTCCAGGCAAGAATACTGGAGTGGGTTGCCNACCTGTATGCATGCTAAGTCACTCCAGTCGTGTGCGACTCTTTGCCACCCTATGGACTGTAGCCTGCCAGGCTCCTCTGTCCATAGCAGTCTCCAGGCAAGAATACTGGAGTGGGTTGCCGTTTCCTCCTCCAGGGGATCTTCCTGACCCAAGGATCTAGCCCACATCTCTTATGTTTACCTGCATTGGCAAGTGGGTTCTTTACCACCTGAGCATCCCTTTAACCAATTCCGTTGGTCAGTAAAACAGGACGCCACCTGTTTCTCTAATGCTCTCTCTGTGCGCTTCCAGCACCCCGTCCAGGAGCTTAGGTGGCCGACCTTGTCCTGCAGGCAGGAGGGTGAGGAGAGAACAGACATTGCCTCAGCCCCTGGGGTGCGCAGGACAGGCTGCCAGGCCAGCAGCCACGGCTTCGCCTCACCTGACAGACGGGATGGGCACACCCACTCTGGCCTCCCCCTCGGGGCTGTGGCAGGGCTCGAATTAAAGTCCATTCCTGAAACAGCTTCTGGTCCATGAGCCTGCTGTCTTCTCACGGGTCCAAGGAGAGAAGCGAGGGAATTGGACCAAGTGCCCGAGGTGCTTCTGACCCGCCTGTCTCCCCATCTCAGATCTGTGGCCGTGAATTCCTGAGCTTGCCCTGCAGGGCTCGGAACCACAGAAGGTCCCGGGTGCGGAGACGGGAAGGGATCCACGCTGTTATTTTTAATCTGTGGATGACAGTCGTCTCAGGTTCTGCAGGCTCTTGGACTGCTGAGAGGCTGCCTGCTGGGTGGAGAGGAGCTTGTCCCTGGGACGCCCAAGGGCTCTGCGGCGGTGAAGGCCATGTCAGAGCTCCCGGGGGCCCCACTTGAGCCCGGGAGAAGCAGGCTTGCCCGACACCCCAGGTGCTTGGCTGAGGACCCCAGGCTCTGTGCAGGGTGCCGCCTGACTTCCGCGCTGAGGGCGGAGGTGGCCGCTGGCTTCACAGCTGCTCATCAAGGTTGTTAGCTCTCCCAGCACCCTGTTCCCCTCGCCCTCCCTCCATCCCTGGCTGGGTTTAATGTCTCCTCCAGCACAGCAGCTTGTCTTCCTGCAGGTGGAGGAGAGATGAGCCTTTGACTGCAGCGTGAAGACAGCAGGAAGTGTGTGAGAAGGTCTCAGGAGGCCTCAGGAGGGAGGAGGGGGGCTTTAATATTTTCTGAGGGCTCATTTACTCTCCATGTTCCTGGGACATGAAGCAGTTAGGTTGCTTCAAGTCTGGT